TGTCTTAGCCTTCTGTGTGCCCTTCGGTGATGACACGATGACGAGTCAGAAAGGTCACGCCTTGCTCTTGGTCCTTGTCAGCGCCACGTTCTGTGGCGCTGTGCATGGTTCCTTTGGCAAAAGTGTCCTGTTCATTGATTGATTTAGAGGCATTTGTCTGAGAAGGGCCAGATCACAGTGGTTTTGAGTAAGTGCTGCTATTTTCCTGTTGGGGAGGAGTTGGTAAAACCCCAGCTCAGTTATAGCTCTGGTGTCTTAGGTGTGCTGGGCATCAAAGTGAAGATCATGTTGCCCTGGGACCCAAGTGGTAAGATCGGCCCCAAGAAGCCTCTGCCTGATCACGTGAGCATTGTGGAACCGAAAGACGAGATCTTGCCCACCACCCCCATCTCAGAACAGAAGGGTGGGAAACCAGAGCCACCTGCCATGCCCCAGCCAGTGCCTACAGCATAACAGGTATGTCTGCAGTGACCTTCCTGGGCCAGCAGCTGGGGTTTTTTATTGTTACTTGTGATGTTTCAGTGTGTGAATAAGTTTTGTTTTTTTTTTTCTTCCTGTGTGGGAGGGTAAGGTTGGAATGCGGTGCCCACCCCACAGATCTGTCAGTGTTTCCTTCACTGCCTTTGCTCAAGAGTTTACAGATATTCTTGTTGCTACTCAGTATATCCTTTAGTGGCCTTGTCAAGGTTTCAGTAAAAAAGCCTTTGTGCTGCGATGTGTTTAAGTTAAGGTCAAAACCCTGCATGGGAGTTTGCATCCATGTAATAAATGAAAGCACTCAAATGAGTTTTTTCTTACATTGTTTTATTTGGTTTCAGGGTCTTGACAGTTGCATCTGGAGGCTGGATGTTGTCCTGTACAAACAGACGTTTAATAAAATCTTGCACAAAGACAAAGCCTGACTGGATTTGTGTCCAGTGTTCAGCTGTGATTGAGTTACGTTGGCCTGTGCTCTGATGAGAAGACTGTCGGGGGCCTGGGGTGCCGCCTGACTAGTGCAGAAAGGCCTGCAGCCTTCATGAACCACTTTATCTCTTTATTTCTTTGTCTTCACCTAAGTAGCTTTGCAGAGTAAGAACTTAATTGAGTAAGTTACGTAAGTTGGGAGCACACTGACCATATCCACAACCTAATGCCAGCCAGCTTAGTTCCATACATGTTGAATACAGGTTTACCTTTATTATATAGTCTTGTGCCTGCACACCAGAAAAGGTCACTAGATATTAAGATGTTTGAGCCACCATGTGGGTGCTGGGAATTGAATTCAGGACCTCTGGAAGAGCAGCCAGTATTCTTAACCTGCACTCTCTTCAGACCTCAGATATACATGTTTTAAAAATATAAAGGTAGTCTTAATGTATATCCCTGGCTGGCCTCTGCCTTAGGGTATTGTGAATAAAGTGTGCAGCCATCATCTGGTTGATCACGTAGCTCATGAATATAGGACAAATAATTGGCATCTGAATTCTCTAGACACTGGCACAGCTAATTTGCTGGGCTATGGTTGAATTGATTTTGTGAGACTTCATGAAAACAACTGGTTGCTCTTCCAGAGAAACCAGGTTAGATCCCCAGTACCCACTTACTGTTTACAGTCGCCTAACTCCAGTCCCAGGGGATCTGATGGTCTCTGCAGACACATGGTACATAGACAATCAGGCAAAATAACCACAAACCTAGAAAAGTAGGAAGGCCAAGAGGCAGGTAGCAAGGAAATACAGTGCCTTTGCACTCCACAAGAACTAGCATCCACGTGAGTAAACTCGGCATCAGCAGCTTTGCTAGAAATGTTACTGAACTCTCTCCTCCCAATATTGGACCAATCAAGTGTGGGGGTCTTGAGCATGCTGGGTGAGTCTGGTCCTGGCACACCCAGTGGTACACTTTCAGATCTTTTAAATTCCTACTGAATTTTTTGCAGACTTGGAAGTTTAGCCTGTGAGCTGGTGTTCGCTCCTTTCCCAGTAGGTGGCACCGGAGCAGCATTGCCATAGAGCAGCCAGGGAGGAGGGGCTTAGTCAAGTTCTGCCCTCTGCAGCCTGGGAAGGGAAAACCGCAAACGGAGCTGGTCCTTAGAACTCACTGGAAGTACAGTTGCTGGCAGTGTGAGATCAGTCCTGAAGCACTTCAGGCACTTGTTCTGGGTGGACCTGTGAGCAGGAGCATGACCATGTGGTTTTGGTGTTGAGGCAGGGTCCCATTCCTGACTGGTCCACCTACCTCTGCTTGTTTTTAGGACTGGTCTCAGGGTTACTAGATTTGGATGCTGAAAACAGTTCACCTTTGTTTTTCATCAAGTCTGTAGTATGTATAAGGTGCGGCTGTAACTCCCTGGGGCCACTAACAACATTTAATAACATCCTTGTGTTGGACACATTCCATTAATAGCTGATTGGCAGCAGGCCTAACCTTTGTCGTCAACAGGAATGTATTCTCTGAGGTTTACCTCAAAGTCTTCACTTCCAGTTGGGGAGTTAAGGTCAGATCCCAGGTTGGAAGTGACTTAACCTTTGCTCCTAAGCTTTCCTAATTACACATAAGGCTGCAGCCTGGGTAGCTTGGAAATAAATTGACAGTGGGGAGTCAGCCACTGAGGGGAGGGGTGTGTGTTAGATGCATTCTTACAGCCTTTGGTGTAGAGTAAAAAAGGGTCTGGCTGTGGCTTGCTTTGGCCTGGAACTCCCCATCCTGCCTCTCCTGAGTACTTAGATGTGTCCTTTGCCTACCCCACCCCCAGCTGACCAAGAGAATGATACACGGCACAATGAATGACCCCTTATCCCCTCGTGGAGGCAGGGTTTCCATGGTTGAAGCTTGCCTAGACCTCACTACAGAGCATAGAACTAATACTATGTCCTAAGTGAGCGCTCCCTCAGGTGCAGTGAATGCTCCCTAGTTGAAGCTGGAACAAACTGGAAAGTACTGATTCCAGATTTCAAGTCTAATAAATAGGCTCTAGCTACTCACTGCTTTTGTACTTAAATTACAGTAGTTATGGGAAACAATAACTCCTGGTTTTGCTGAAGACACTGATTTTCTTGGTTCCACAATTGAAACTTTCACTCATAGGTCTGTAAACATCAATTATAATGACTGATAGGTGGCCTTAAAAATTGGGCACTTTCTTGGCATGCTTGAGGTTCTGGGTTCAATCTCTAGTAAAAATAATGTCAACACATTTCCCTCCAGTCACCAGTTTGCAGGGGACATCTGGGAGTCCTTGCCCTCCACTGTGGGTCTCGGATTGAGCTCTGGTTGTTAGAATGGCAAGGTATGCCTTTACCCACTGAGCCATCTTGCTAGTGTGACTGGTGTTACTAGCATCCCTCTGGAGTGAATGAAGTGCTGCTGTGTACCCCTACATCCATCTGATCTGTCTGATGAGTGAGATTTCCTGTCATGGGTAAAAGGAAAGCGTGATTCCACCTGATGTTTCCAGACTTCTGAAGGATAGTACAATACTTGAGAAATGCTACAAGGAGGTGGGAGGTTGCTGTAATGGTTACTTCATGTTTCATCTAGGCTGTCCCATTCTGAGTTCTTATCTTACTTGCCTGTGGGTCCTGGCAGACAGAGCATGCATAGAACAACACTCACACTATAGTAAGTGGTTAAAATTTAAAAAATAGGGTCCTTTGGGAATCTGAGTGGGAAGCTTGGGATCACTGCTTGGCCTTAATGAAGTGTCTAGCCAGGGGACAGACATCTTTTAGAAGAATTTGCCCTGGATGGGCTCCTATTGTTCCTGGGTAGACATGATAGGTGCCATTGCTTTGTCCTAAGTGTCCCCTTAGGGTGGGGACAGGCAGGCTGTGGTGCTGGCCTGTACTCGTCCCCTGCTGTCATTATCAGCTGAGAACAGATGGCCACAGTTCCCTAATCTGTGCTATTGGAGCTCAGCTGGGACCAGAGCCTTTGTGCCTGGCTGGGATGGGCCAGCCCCAGCTGGAGAGACCCTGCAGACATGGCCCTGGGGCTTTGAGAATGAGAGAGATTGGGAAAGAGGCTCTTCTTCAAAAGGCAATCTGAGTGCAAATGAGGATCTGCAGATGGGGCCAGCCAGGACTAAGTACTGCAGCCTCATCCCTGGAAACAGCCTCTGCATCCTGGGTGTGTTTTTCCCTTTTTCCCATCCAGCAGTTTGTCCGGATACTGTCCTGGAGCCCTGGGCCATATCAAGTGTACAGTGGCATCAGAGTGCGTCTTACACTGATGTTGGGGATTTGGCCAGGGCTGTGGTGCTTTCTACCCTGAAACAAAAAAATGTTGGGCCTGGAGAGGTGGCTCAGTGGATAAAGGCTTTTGCTGCTAAGCCTGCTGATGTGAGTTCAGTCCCTAGAACCCATGTGTTAGATGGAGAGAACCAACGTCCACAATTTGATCTCTGGCCTCCACACAGGTACCATGACACAGAAGTAAAATATATATCTCCAGTAATGAAAGGAAATGAGGTAATGGGTGTGCTAACAGTTGAATGCCGATGTTCCTCCAAAATTGCTATGTTGGGTCCTAATACACAACATCATAGCATTAAGAATGAGGACTGGTGGACATGGCTCGAGCTGGTAGTCTTGCCATGCCAGCCTGAAGACGTGATCCCCAGAACCCACGTAAGATAGAACAGACTCCACAAAGTTGTCCTCTGACCTCTACATGCACTTCATGCACATGTGTACATACATCATGCACTCACACTGTAGTAAGTGGATAAATTTTAAAAAGAAACAGGCTCCTTCGGGTAGATGAATAAATCGTCCGAGATTAGTGTCATTTGGGGAGGTTGAAGGGAACTTATAAAGCAGAGCGTCACCAGATGGAATCTGCTGGCACCTTGCTCCTGGTGCCAATTGCACGCTCCGGTGTCCAGAACGGAGTAATTCACCGTAGTCTAAGGTGAGTATGGCTGGCTGCGTGGCCTACAGTGGCGTAGCCGCGCTGGCGAACTGCAAAATACCTTCTCTGGATAAAGCAGGCATGAGCTGGAACACACCCGACTTTTGAACAACCTTTTATTTCTACAAGAAAAGGGGCAATAAGTTAGAGGACTATTCACATGGAGGGTCCAGGAGGGGAGCCAAGTGCTGCATATGCCCAAGTTTTCTCCCTCCTGGTTCAGGCTGTCCCAATCATCTGCTCAGGCTCTGGACAATGGTGACACAGCCATGCGAGCTGGTGCAGCGCTGCAGCGCTGGCTGGGCCTCCACCTGCCCACTGCTGGGGTCAAAGGTGAAGACGCTGTTGGTGCTTTCCCCATGTTCGTCCCGCCCACCGAGGATGTGCACCTTCCCGTCACACACAGTCACGCCACAGCTCTCCTGAGTGGACAGACAGACAGACAGTTAACTGTGGGATGCAGCCAGGGACTCCCTTGGTTCTTAGCTGGCCAAGCCACATAGCAGAGTCTTGCCCTACAGATCGACTAGGCAATCTGGATGGCAGGGAGACAAAATAATTGACCCTTACTAAATAAATGGCCTGGAGAAGTCACCTGCTCTGTCTTAGATCTATCTCATCTGCACAGTTCAAAGAGCAAGCACCCTCTTTGCTGCCATTGTGTGTGGGATATCCTTCACTTGGTCTTCACCAAAAAGCTGAAGTCAAGCCTGGAAGATCGCACACCTGTGAACAGTACCGCCATCCTACAGTCTCATTCAGAGAGCTGGGAACCTCGGTCTTGGAATCACCCAGGCCCAGAACTGACAGAGACCACCAATTATACATCTATATAGTTTCCCTGGAGTCTCGGGGCAGCAGGTGGGGGGAAAGGGGGCTGTGGAGGCCAGAACTTGCACCCCTGGCTGCTGATGTCACTGGAGCAGGGAACTTACTAAGTCACGGCACTTGAATTCTAGACACTGGCTTACTACAGGCCAACTGATGGCCTTGGGCCAGACACTAAGGCCAGTCTCCTCCGTCACTGGGAGGACAAGCAAGGGGACGATGTGATGCCCCTCAGCGTGGAGTCATATGCAGGACCTCGGACTGGTGAGCTCCAGAGCCTTGGAAGTGGGTCTGCGCTCCTGAATGTGCCAGTGCAGGGGACCCCACTTACCACAGGGCCGGGCAGCTCAGCTGCCTCTCCCCAGACATCGGTGCCAGGGTCATAGGTGAAAATTTTACTCATGAGGCCTCCCACCACATAAATGGTGTCTTCCAGGGAGACGGCCTCAAGACACCGCTGCAAGAATGGTGCTGGGGACCGCAGACTCCACTGGTCCTCCTTGGGGTCAAAGCACTGCACCTGCAGGAGGAAAGCAGGGGTGGATGAGCCTCACCCCTACCTGCCCGCTACCATGGCCTCTGACCTGTGTCTCTAGGAATACTCGGCAGATTACCCTAATTTTTAGTCCACTATGATTGGTTTATGCAGTGCTAGGATCCAACTCAGCCTCCTGTGCCCTACAACCCCAGCTTATAATAGATTCTTTCCTTTTTTGAATGGAAGGAAAGCATTTTAACTAATCCTACTCTGTCATCTAATTTTTTAAAAGATTATTTTTATTTATACGTCTCTCTGTGCGGCTGTGGGTGGCTGTGGAAGCCAGAAGAATGTGTCAGATCCGGAGCTAGAGTGGAAGGCAGTTGTGAGCCATTTGACATGGGTGCTGGGAACCAAACTCTGGTCCTTTGCAAAAACAGCAAGTACACCGATGAGTCATCCCTCCAGCCCCGACCTTCTAGCCCTGGCTGTTCTGGATCTCGCTCTGTAGACCAGGCTGGCCTCAGAGATCTGCCTGTCTCTGCCTCCCGAGTGCTGGGATTAAAGACCAGCACCACCACGGCCTGGATCAATCTTTCAATTTTTAAAATCTATGAAGCCCACATGGTTGGTACCAATCGGAAGAGTATAGGTGCCTCACTGAGTACCCTCTGAGGTGTCGTCCCCCCCACCCGCCCCGCGCGCCCTTCTTTTCCCTGCACCCGCACCCCCCACTTCGGTCTTTTCAAGACAGGGTTTCTCTGTATAGTCCTGGCTGTCCTGTAATTCTCTCTATAGACAAGGCTGGCCTCGAACTCGGGGATCTGCTTGCCTTTACCTCCTGAGTGTTGGGATTAAAGGCGTGCGCCCGGCTGAGGTCATCTTTCTTAACTCATTTCCTTGATCAAAATGATTCCCCGAGTGCTAGATTGTCTCACGCCAGCGCCCAGATCTAGCCTGCACACAGTAGGCTACGCTGCTTCCCTGCAGCCTCTTATGTCCCCTAATCTCAAGGCCAGAGCCCACCTTATCAGTGTTGACACCGTCCTGCCCGGCGCCCCCAATCACGTAGAGCTGGCCAGCGCAGGGCGCCACCGCTGCAGAGCTCACGGCTTCCGGCAGGGGCGCTGTGGCCGCCCAGGTGTTGGAGAACGGGTCGTAGCGCTCCACGCTGCGCAGGCGCCGAAGGCCATCGAAGCCGCCCACTGCGAAGAGCTGAGGGTGAAGACAGAGGCCAGAGCCCTGGGATTCAGAGCTACAGGCGACTTCAACACCCCACCGCGTCAGTCTGTGAGCCCACCAGGGGCATCTCAGTGCAGCCACTGCCTGACCAAGTTCCTCTTTTCCTAGTTCAGGAACCCCCTTCCCTGTTCAACGCAGGGGACGGGAGGCAGGCATCTGTATTCCAGCTGCAGATGATGCTTAGTAATAACCCGAGTGGTTACTAAGGGTTTTTACCACCCACCTACCCGATTCCTGTATGTTTCTGAATGCAGAATGAGGCTCACAAAGATAACTAGCAGGATTTTGTAAGTGGCAGAGTCAAGACTCAGTACTCTGGTCCCAAGGCCCAAACCTTTCGCCACTGAACTGTATTTTTACAGTGATGGCTATTTATCTGGGATGGGTGATGATGTTGAGACAGGGTCCTGCTATGTAGCCCTGGCTGGCCTCAAACTCACGACCCTCTTGCCTCAGCCTCCCATGTGCTGATTTGCAAGTGTGAGCTGCTGTGATGACTGTTAACATTATTATGTGATCTCGAGCAAGTCCTGACTAATCATTTGGGGACTCCGATCCCTCCTTCCCCAGATGGTCTACGGCTTGGATCCCAGGGCAGAAGCAGAGCATGTGCCTACCTGTCCCTGCAGGGCCACCATCCTGTGCCTCCACCTGCCCTTGTGCATCGAGGCAACCTTGATCCAGGTGTGCAGATGGGAGCTGAACATCCAGACATCACGGCTGTTGATGTGACCTCCTATGGAGAAAGGGGCAGTGCCCCCCAGAGAGCCAGAAACACCCCTAAATCCAAAGGAAGGCTTAAGAGTGTAGGAAGGCTTTCTCACTGGGCTGGTGTAAGACTGTGCCTACCACCCAGACAGTGTGCTTTCAATGGAAGGAGAGGGTGCCAGGGAGATCCAGGGAGGGGAGAGTGCTCTTCACCAGGTGCCCCGTGGTGGGATACCAGTTGTGCTCAGGGAAGCAAAGGAGGAGGGGCATCCTCAAGACAATCACGAAGAATGTGTGGTGGGCCGAGGGAGAGCAGGGCATCTGCGGGCATGTGTGGGGGAGAGGGTGACCCAGTCACTGTTCTTGACCAATGCTCTACCTTCATTTCCATCCCCATCTCTCTGCCGTGCTGGGATTATTATACAGTTTCCATACAGGAAATAAGGATGAGGTTCAGGGACCAGGAATGACCTGCTGAAGACCAGGTGGCCTTTTGGTCAGACCAAAGACCAAAGCCACAGCTTAAGGCCTTCCGGCCCCAAGACCCACATCAACATCCCCTACAGGTGACTGGCTTTGCTGGACCACACGCAGGATTTTAGCCACAAACTGTAGGGGATTATGGGAAAGCTGATTAGAGGGGGAAAAAAGGGGGGTGTATGTGTGTGTGGGGGGGGGGCGGGGCAGATGAGAGGCTCCTACTTCCGCTGCGCTCTCACCAGAAACATAAATGTCATTTCGCAGTGCACAGGAGGCAAACTCAGAGCGTGTGTAACCAGGCAGGCTAGGCAGTGGGGTCCAGCGCTGACTCTCGGGGTGGTAAGCATCGGCGAAAGGCAGCTTCAGGAGTCCCTTTCGGTCACACCCGCCAATGACCACTATCACTTCCGCTAGGTCCATGAATCTGGGGTGAGGATAAACCGAACACCTGTAGATCCACACTCGCGCTGCGGCCCTTTCCCACGCCACCTCGGCCTCCCGCAAGGGATGCTGGGGATTACTGCACCCGACGGCTAGTGCGCTCTGCCTCTAAGCCATATCCCCAGCCCTTGTTCTGTGCAGCCTCTGGTCTTCAATTCCCTATCCTGTTCCTGCTTACTTAGTGCTGGACTGACAGGCATCCAGCAACAAGCCCGGCTCCTTTCTTGCTGTTTTGATCACATCACACAATGCCGCTGCCCTTCTGCATACACTGGAGGCTGCCAGTGGAACCCATCACTTCCAGTCTTACCTCTGGTTATGATAGGGAGTCACTAACCCTTAACTAGTCGACTCGCCTCTAAGTTACAGAAAAACGACTCTCCCCTTTCTTTGCTTAATCCTTCAGATGGTTGTTAGGATTGTTGTCCCTTTTACTGAGGAAGAAGCTGAGGCTCATGAATTATGGGCTGAGTCATGCTCAGTTTTGTCTAATATGAATCCTCCATCCCTAACACCTAATATACCGCGTCCTTCCCCTAGCCACCTCCTAATGGGGAATTGCCATGAGCAAGATTACGCAGACATTCTGCAGAGCTCTCCACCCTTGACTCTTTGGGTTTCTGGCCTCACCAGGTTTTCCTAACCCTCTGGCTAGTGCTTTCCTAACCGTTCATCTTGTGTCCCTGGCCTCGCGCTCAAAGTTAGAGACATCACCCCTGTCTTCTGTCCCTCGGGTATGAGGGCCATTGTGGACTATCCCACCTATAGTCAGTCTCTGGGTCTGGCATTGCACGGGCAGAGTGGACATTTCTCATGCCTTTGTGGGTTTAGTTGTCTTACTAGCCTGTGGGTCCCCAGAGAGCAGATTCCCAATTGGACCCGTTTCTCAGAATGGCAGATGAGGCAGGAAATGGAATGCATCCTTCCCTCACAGGGCTAAACTCTTCAAGGCAGAACGCCGGGTACCAAGAAACGGTGACAATTCATGAGGGGCAGTGAAGGAACCAGAGCTGGGGAAGATACGAGGCATCGCTGGGCCAGCAAGCGGGAGGCCATACCTCCGCGGCCGGGCCCGCAGCGCGCTAGCCTCCCGGCCCAGGATGAAGCAGGCGCGGGCCTCCAGCAGCAGCGGGCGGCAGTCGCCGCAGGCCTGCAGCAGCTCATCGGCCTCCACCTTCTCCAGGAAGTAGGCGGGCGCCAGCAGCGGCAG